AGGGGCTTCGCCCACTGCCTAGTCTGGCAGGGGATGGTCCACCTGGAGCCGAAAGTAGACAGACTGAGAGAAGGGATGAGATGAAAAGACCCCGGGACTAGCCTCAGTGGCAGACAGGACCCTCCAGCCCACGTTCACCTCCTTGAAGTCGGTCCTCTCAATGAAGACGACAGAGGCAAAGGGGACCTGGTGGAAGCCCTTGGCCTCATCAGCTGGGAAGTTGGGCACCCGGATATCCAAGGACTGCAACAGGACACAAGTATTGGAGTCATGCCAGCCACTGGGATCCCCGGACCCAGGCGTGCCCCCGACACATACATGTGTGTACAAGCATGCACACACACGGAGGTGCACGCCCACCTCGGCAGCAGGAAAATTGGTGATGACAACCCGTAGTGACTCCAGCACGGCCATGGCCCGTGGGGCTGTGTCATTCAGCACTTCACGCACACAAGCTTCTAGAAGATGTGGCTCCATCGTGGTCTGCGCCACTGTCACCCCCACCTGGCAGGGAAGTCCAGCATGTCCCCCCCCCCCAGCCACAACTACACAGCCCTGCACTCCAGACCTCTGCCCACCCAGACCACGGGCTATACCCGGGCACAGAAGTTGTTGATGGCCTCGGGTGGAAAGCCCCGCCGCCGCAGGGCCGTGAGCGTGAAGAGCCGCGGGTCATCCCAGTCCCTGTGGGGGAGGAGAGGTAAGGAACCTCTGCGGCCCATGCGGCCCGTACCACGGCCTCTAAGGAGCTGGCAGCCCAACCCACCGCACGGCACCGGCTGCCACAAGCTGGAGGATCTTCCTCTTGGAGACGACGGCGTAGTGGAGGTTCAGGCGCCCGTACTCCCACTGCACAGGGCAGTAGACGTCCAACGCGTTGCACAACCAGAAGTAGGAAGACCGTCTGGGCGGGAGAGCAGGGTTAGGACGGGCCACCTCTGGGACCAGGGAGACACCCCAGGAAGGGCTGCTGGAGGCCCACTGGTCCTCCCCACCCAGGAGCCCGGTGTTCTCACCGGGCTTGGAATTCCTTGGTGCAGAGTGAGTGAGTGATGTGCTCGATGGAGTCACAGAGGCAGTGTGTGTAGTCGTAGGTGGGGTAGATGCACCTGTGGGGCACAGGCAGTGGGCCTACCGCCCAGCCCCAGCCCGGGCCACCGCCCTGCTCACAGCCCGCCAGCCCACCCCACGCACACCCACCATCTGTCCCCCGTGCGGTGGTGTGGCGTATACTTGACTCGATAGGCCACGGGATCCATCTTGCCATCCTCCATCACCAGTTTCATGCGCAGCGTGGCTTCTCCCTCAGAAAACTTGCCCTTGCGCATCGCCTGAGGGGAACACGGGCTCAGGCTGCCTTTAGGCACAGGGCCGATTCATCCCCAGCCTTGCGCCCACCAAACCAGTGCCCCTCCAAGACCCCACCTCAAAGAGCAGCAGCGACTCCTCCACGGGACGGTCCCTCCAGGGAGAGGGCAGCGCGTTATGCCCTTTGAGCTCGTCTCCTCGCTGGTGGCACACGTAGGCCTGGCCCCTGTGGGGAGGGGTGTGAGTGCCCAGCACAGGTATGCCGCGCCCGCCTGGCCCTGGCCTGGCCCTGGCCTCACCTACGGATGAGCTCCACAGCCCAGGCGTACAGCTGGTCGAAATAATCAGAGGCGTAGGTCACCTTGTAAGGTGTGTAACCTGGGCAGGACGAGACGCCGTGTGAGCGGTCAGGCAGAGACACTCGGGGACAGGCCATGGCCCCAGGAGATGCCACTGCCGTCCAGCCCGTACCCAGCCAGGCCACCATGTCGTAGATGGCAGTGAAGAACTTGGCTTCCTCCTTCTCGGGGTTGGTGTCATCGAAGCGCAGGAAACAGATCCCACTGTTGGCCTAGGAGAGCAGCAGGGCTGTCAGGCCCCCAGCATCCAGCTCATCAAACCAGGACGTTCTCGGAGGGCTCCCGTGTCAGAGTGGGAGAGCTTCTCTCACCTCCCTGCATCGGAATGCCCTCCAACAGGCATCGCTACACCAGCTCCAGACAGCCCAAGCTGAGGGGCACAGCAGCAATTCCATCCGTAACCCCCCACAAAGCAGACCTTGCTGGTTCGCCTGAGTTTTCCCCAGCGACCCCAATGCACTCCTAGGTATCTGTCCCACCCGTGGCTTCCCTCCTCGGCCTCCGCCCACTGGGGCATGTTATCAGGCTCACCTTGGCATAGCCAAAGTTGAAATTGATGGCTTTGGCATGTCCGATGTGCAGGATTCCGTTGGGTTCTGGTGGGAAGCGGGTCCGGACCTGAGATTAGGGGGATGAAAGCAGAGAAATGAACAGAGACCGCAGACTGCCCTACGGGAACAGATGTCCCTTCCCAGGGAGGCCAGAGGGATGGGGGAGACGGAGCAATGGAGACGCCCGGGCAAGCAGATGGGCCGACAGCGCCAGCTTGCCTGGCCACCTTCCCACTCACCTGCCCCCCAGTGATCTGCAGGTGCTGCTGCAGCAGCGCCATGGTGTGTGGAGTGGTCACGTAGCCTGGAGTCTTGTAGTTCTCACCTGCCAGGGCCAGGACAAACCTAAGGACCAGGCTGCAGCCGAGAACCCTGAGCCGAGCCTGGCGGGAGGACTGCTAACAAGACCTAGACCCCCCCAGGGTCTGGCCTGCTCACCAGGCTTGTGGAATTTAAGAGCCTCTCCCCGCAGCTGCTCCATCAGAGACAGGGTCTGTTCAGTAACCTCACCTGCCGGAAAGAAAGCAAAGAAAACGTGTCTTCTGGATACGGTTACTACCCCAGCTCAGAGATACCCGTGGCTGCTACCCATACCCTGCAGCCAGGACAGAGCCCGGCAGGCCCCTTCCCGCAGTGCGAGGTAAGAGAATGAGGGACCAGTACAGGGTGTAATTGTTTTGTCACTGGACTCCCACATGGCTGACCAGGGTTCGAGTCCCAGACCTCGAGGCTGAAAACATACTAGATGTGTTGGGACCAGCAGTTAGCGTAATGGCTATGTCGCTGGACTCCCATGTAGTCAACCGCAGTTTGAGTCCCAGACCCGG